GACAACCGATACATCTTGCTCAACGAACAATACAGGTCAGCACTCCCCATCACTACATTGGCCCATCCTGAATTTTATGAACAACCAGTTGAAATAGAGCCAGTGGACGACGACCATCTACTCGGTTTCCTGATCGATCCCCTCAACAGAACCGTCAGCTTCCAACTCCCCACCCATCCCTGGCAGATTCGTGATCCGCAGTCAGCAGGAAGCCACAGGCTACGCCTTTCAGGCTTACAATCACGCCACCACACTTTACAAAAATACACATTTCCACCACATCTAGTACCCACAACAGCACAACAGTTGATGCAGCTCTATATGACCAAAGGTCATTCCAAAGAACACTGCGCCGCGGCGCTGCGGCCACGAAGAGAAAAAAGACTATGCGCCAGTATTTTGCAGACTGTCGTTGGGTACATTTCACACTATTGAACTTATTCGCTGTCCAGCCCTTCCAATATTTATTATCCAGGTACCGCCTGATCCGATCTAGTTGCGCCGATACGGCTCTGTGTGTGTGTCCACTCCTGTTTCCAAGGACACTACTCTAGTACTTTTCTAATCTACCCTACGAGCCTTTCAACCACTGTACAGAAGCAGGGGGCACGGCGGCCGTTCACCTAGCCGTGCTAACAAAGCTATGGTGTTCGGTTGGAAGAGATACTGGACGCAGTATCTTGTACCTGCTATTTTTAATTTTTCACTCATTGATGCTTCTAAGTCAGTTCAACGCTGTCTCATACGTTGATTTTGCAATAAAGTGCTAATGCTCTCGGCTAATGCTGTACCTAAATGTAAAGGGCTAATGCACACCGCGAAGCAGCCTGAAATCACGCTCCACGGAGCAACCTTCTCAAGTGTGTGTGTGTGTGTGTGTGCAAATGGTCCAATGTTCTTTCGACCTGCATGTGGTTCAAGTTAGAGCTAGCTCGCTGAGTTCCAGGTCTGATTGAAGCCCTAAACATGCTGCCTAAACTGCAAATCGTTGAATACTTATTTCCAGCGACCAACGCACCCCGAGGATTCAAGAACCCTCGCGAGTGTTGGGCACTGACATCCTTTCCCGCAACCATGCCCAGGGATTCTGGTGTAAATCCTGGAGCTGTGCTCCATTGCCCGGCCCTCCCTTTAGGAGAAGACGGGGCTTGCAGTGCCACATCTTTGCTTCAATGTTCAGCAGGTTCTTGCAGAATTTCGGATGCAGCAGTGCAGAACCGGCGCCCACCGTCAACTCAAAAGCTTCCCACTCAAGTCTCTTCTTCACCAGCAGCCGCCAAAATCCTTATCTCCACACCCCAGGCGGAAACATACAGTATGTCGACATGCACGGTTCCCAACAGCGTTACTGTATATATAACCAAGCTGAACTCCCCAAGCGCCTTCATGGTGCAACCGGTGCAACCTACAAGGCCTAACTTAAAACCGAAGCTAGGTGCGGGTTTCACCAAACTCTGACAGTGAGAACTCATTGACCCAAAAGCCATCATGGCTTTGAACGTAAAAGTCACCCAATGAGCGATGAGGCGGTGCAAAGCACACTGAGTGTGCAAACGGAGGCAGTGGATGCGGGTGCCAAGGGTCCAAGCACATCGTCACGGTGTGAATATCGTGACAAAAGCAAGGTAACGCGAAGACGGAAGATCCAAGTCTCTTTTGCAGCTTGTCCTTGCTTACATAGCCGGTGCCCTTACGGTCCTCTCAATTGAGTCGCATATGCAAAGGAGCAAACAAATTGCTAAATGTTGCTGGACTGCGATGATAACTAGCAGCCCTTTGACAAATTGAACGCATCAAAAGGGCCAGATCATGCTGAAGCTACTGCAGTCACGAACATCAAGTCCCAAAGCCTTGTTGTCTCTAAGTTCTCATCGCTATTGGTTAGGTTCCTCAAAGTATGTTTCATATTTTTCTTATCGTTGTTTTAAACATATACACTCATTTTGTGGCAAGCAAAGTTCGGCGTCGCCCAGCATCCTTGCAACGGCTGCTGGTTGAAGTGCGTCGGCCGTCCGCCGCCTGAGCTTTTTCCGGGACTTCGTCCTCTTCTTCCTGGGCGTTGTTGAGCCAGGAATCAATAATGGTCACAGCTTCAACAGCGAGAAAACTTGGAAACTCAGAGAGGAGCCTCATCATCCACCTTTGAGAGGATATCCATCATGGCGGCCTTCCAGTGAAAAGGACGTTTCTTGATGTTTCTTGGCTTTTGTGAACTCATAATGTTTACAATATTTTACAATAGCAACGTCAATCAAAGGCATGCAACTGTTGAACCATGCAGCCCTCTTCAAAGTGTATTCGTCTGCTCGCACATGTCACACACGTGCAGCGTTCGACGCACTGTCCCTCGCAATGAAGTAAAGTTTCCCAAACAATCTAGGGAGCAAAATCCAAATCATCAAGTCTGAGCCCTTCCGCGCCCAAGCCTAGTAGCGCCGACAGGTAGCCTACGAGTAGCTACTCCCTGCTTCTCACCTAAGCTACCTCCTCTCAGCCTGCCCTTCTCCTCCCTTGTGGCTTAAAGAGAGAAACAAGAAAACAAAAGAAAACACACGCCTTGGTGATAAATCCTGTGCCCTTGCGCTTGGAGCTGTGTTTCGCTCCTGGGGTTTCTTTGGAGTTCACCCAGACGATAGCCTTCCTCGGCCAAAAGAGCAAGAATGCTTTGGAAGGCTCTGGAACAAACAACTATTGTTGTTCTTTTGTTCGCTTTTTCTGGTAGGTCTCGTTTCCTTGCAATCCATTCTTTCTTCAAGGTCACGGCTTTCCTGTGACTGTCTCTGGCTTCCAAGCTGCTCCACATCATGCTCTGACACGTACTTGTCATCCTTTTGCGGTTCGTCATCCTAAGAGTGAAGCAAAATCAGGCTGAAGGTGATCCTATCTTACATCGTTGCCTGCATTCATTCGTTCGTGATACCTGCGATATCCTGCTATACAATACACTTTGACATGTCAAAAGACTACAACTTGCACTTGTCAGAACTTGCCCGGCCTGTGGCCTCTGACAATGTATGGCCAGACTACAGAGCCAACCAAAGTCACATAATGTCGCACTCACATTCTTAGCTTCAAAAAGTTTCCAACACTGGGCCAGGAGTCCATCAATATGGTTTCGATCACGTCCAAGTTAATCATGACCTCGCCCTTCTTATCGTTCGATGGCTTAGAGACTTGCCGGCCATTCTCCAGCTTGTTGGCGAACTCCTCTGCTGTGACCTCACGAACGTAGGGATGACCAATGGAGGGAACACACATGATGAGTGCAAACACGTGCAATCTGTGTCAATATCAAGAGGTTGTCACTTCCTAAAGGATCTTGAAGGCTAGTCAAGTTGGGCGCAACTTGTGCAACATGGATGCGGTCACCATACTATCACTTACCTAATGCAACCAACGGATGGACATCGCATAGAGTTCAGATACAGCCTGGATACACATTTGATACAAGGGCACAACGAGGCACGTGCGCACAACCGAGAATGTCTGATGGGCCGAGCCACGAAGGTTTCCCCCTCCGAGTGTCCACAATTGGTGCAAATGCAAATCCCCATCGCCGGATCCTCTCGGCGTTGCCGTCCGGTTCTTCTTCTCTGTGCTTCTTCCTCCAAGGCCACAAGCCCAAACTTGAGCCCAGGATCTGGCGGTTGGTCAGTGTTGGCAGGATCTGGATGCTTCGATACAATCTCGCACTTTGGAGCCAATCCGCAGTAATCATAATATGATTTTGTCTAAAATTCAACTGCCCCCCCAAGCATGCAGCTTGATTTCTCGGTGTTTGCCATTCCGGCTATCCACAGCTCCTTTCCGAGCAGAAGGGCAAACGGGTGGCTGGATCTCCAGAACACCCATCTTGATGAAAAGGATCTTGTTCTCGACGGAAGGCATGCAAAACCATCAGCAAAGACAACACATGTGTCACTTTGGGCACAGAAACGGTCATTAAGCAATTAAGCAGCTAAGCATCTGACAGTTTTTAGTAGTTCTGCCCACACTTCGAGAGATTTGCATCCGACAACTTTGGCCGTTGCACGCGTGCCACCCTCGGCAGCTTGCACGTGGCATTGACACTAAGGCATGGGCCAAAGAAAATTTGCAACCCCCTTGCTTGCTGAAGCCAATCCCCATGTTTGTGATGGTTTTCAGCCCCCGCTGTTTGAGTGTGCCCAGCTCAGAGCGCCCAGGCCGTGCCCTCAGCTCTTGGCTTTACAACTCTTGGCCGCTTGCAGCCGCCGTTCCCATTCTGCCGATCGCTGGCCGAAGAGCTGTCGAGCGATATCTGTCGCCTGAGCACCTCGGGGGTTCGACGGAAACGCCGTTAACCAGCATAGCCTCAAATCCTGCCCTGAAGGCCAAAGGACAACAAAGTCTAATTACTGTAAATCCAAAATGCTCCAAAGACCTCTAAAGTGAGTTTTCCAAAATGCTCTATCCGGTCTGCCTTTTCCCTATGCATCAGGCCTGGACCTTTTCTTAGTGCGTTTTGATCATCCATTGCACGTATTGGGGCCCCGTGAAATCCCTGTGCAGCAGGTTGCCTCAAGGCTGACACTGTGATTTGTTCTCTAAGCTTTGAACGGTAGTGAGCCACCAAAGCCTGCTTTAGAATGGGATCCGCAGCAGGACCACGAGGAAAATCGGCAAGCCTGAAGTGCGAGAGAAAGCAAAAGAATGGAGAGTGGATTGGAGCACCTAATTAGCAAAGGTGACATCACAAGCAAATACAGGTGCTTGCAGCTTGCCGCTCAAGCATTCTCAAACTCAAACCTAGCAGCGAAGGACCAGCGGTGGCCATCATTGCAGCATACCAAACATCCCTGGTAGCTAGGAGGTGCTGGAAACAAACCTTGCGCAAACCTTGGGCGCCGGAATGGAATTGGCAACACGAGGCAACGCACATTTCCAAATGTTAATACGTCAATGGATTGATAGCTATGGCTTTATCGCGAGATATGTGATTGATATGCTTTGTATTATTGATTTGTACTTTGATGCGGGCATTTCTGATCCGTCCAAACCTGCTCAATCCAATAGGATGCCATAAGCCATGGAACTTTGTGCACACGGCCTAGCATGAATCCAAAGACCTCGCTCTAAATCCACGGCCATCTGCGGCCATGACCATTTGGCACCTCAGTCTCCGGACGACGGCATTGGTACGACACTCACACAACGCCTTGGATCGCCTTGGTTTCTCCAAAACGCCCAGCCCTCAGCTTGCATTCTCCAATTGTCTTGAGCGAATGCAGCATGACCTGCCAAGGCACAGCCATGGAAGAAACACAAGCTTGCAGCCGGAGAAACCTGTTGAAGATTACCACCTCATGACGCATACGCTCAAAGCCGGCAACATGTGACCTGTGACCGTAAACGGTTCTTCTTGTTTGTCTTTCCTGCTGTCTTGAGATGAGCGAGTGTGCTCTTGTTCTTGAATCCGTGAATGCAACACGCGTGAGAGCGCGAGTCAGGAGTGAACGACTTAGCTGAAGAATCAGGAAATTGATCGCGCCACAGTAGCCAGCTCAAAACCTCTGAGACCTCTGAGGCCAAGGAAACTGCAGTTACTTCCAGTAGCTGAAATACATATTTCCTGACTCACATGTCCCTCTAACCGGAAGCCACTTCCGCCCAGCAACGAAGCAAAATGCTTGATGCAAGCTTGATTGAGCCAGGTACATCATCAGAGTCATGTATCCAGTACAAGCCTTAGCTTCTAATTCATTCAACTTCAAGGCTTCCATCAAAGCCTTGATAAGCACTCATTGACCTCGAGAAAGCATGAACTGACAACCAACCTGCGACCATGACCTTGACACACACGTATTAACTTATAGATAAAGGCTCGCAAGAACAGTGTCAGGTGCGATATCCCCGAGAGCTAGTGACTGATTGCATTAGACCTTGGCTCGCAGGAACAGCAAGGGAAGGGTCGGCTCACTTGCATTGTTTGCAACAAACGCGTTAGCCCTTACCGCATAAGGAAGGTGAATAGGTCCGAAACAATATCGTTTACCTTTCTTAATTAAACATTAGGAGAGCGGGTGGTCATGGGGCCTGGGTTTTGGTTTTCCCAAAACTTTAGGTAAATGCTTCAGTGGCAGCCCCTCTCCATATAAACACACATATAATCTATTCCTGCTCTCTCTATATGAACAAATATATTATGTTTTCCTGAGTCAGGGTCATTTTATTGTTTTGGAAGCAGCAATCAGTCATTCAGATGGTTTTGAAACAAGATAATTAGGAAAAGAAACAGGCCATAAAAGTGTTTATTTTAACAATTGTCCTCTAGATCTCTGCTTATCGTTATGTTTAGATTTGGAACGATTGTATATAGACGCGTTATGTTATAAAAGATTCTCTATAGGTCTCTGCAGATAATCATTTTTAGATTTAAGCAACTATATAGAAACCTTGTATGTTAAAAGCTTTCTTCTAGACTAGATGTTTGCGGGTAAGAGCTTGCATTTTCAAAGTTTTCCTCTGGATCTCTGGCAAAGTAGATGTCCCATATATGTGTGTTTTCATGAAAGGAAAGTTCTTGAAAGAAAAACGTATTCATTGATATATAGCACGCTTAAATTGACATGACCATGTCCAGAGATCCAGAGGAAAGCTTTTGACATGAAAGCGTTTATATATGTTTGTTGTAGAAATGATCATCCCCAGAGATTTAGAGGGAAGCTCTTGAATTAGAAGCTTGTACATAAAACTTTTTTAATATGTCTATATGATCTCGAGTGATTACTGTAAATAAATATATCTAACTATTTACTCCAAAAAAGGTGTTTTAGTCTTGTTCCCAGCACTCCCAGGGCAAAAAATACTGTAAAACAGGTGGTTTTGTAGCATGTGTTTTCTTAAACTAAATAGACTAGAGCTAGAATAGAATTAGGTATAGTTAAATTGGATTTGAGTTAGGGCTAAGATAGAACTGAGTTAAAACCGAATTTCAACCAAACTTGTATTGAACTATAAGTATAACCTATTTAAAATTAGAAAGTTGAATTAGAAAGGAATTGGAATTAAACTTAGAAGTTCGCCAGAATAAGATGTAAAACGCTTGAGCTACAAGATGCACAAGTCGAATAGGCTTCGAAATTACAAAGCCGAAGCAAATGCAACAAACATTGAATTAGAACTACAGCCTGCGCAGGTTCAAAACAGTTTCATGTAAATTGGAAGGTGTCATTACAGTTTCATGTCAAGCTGATTGGACATGCAATTGGCAACCACATTGATACCAATCAGACGTTAACGCACAGACTTGTACATGGAGATTTCGACAAGGACAAAGGGAGTGTTGGGCTCAGAGGCTTTCACTGTAAGAGCAAAGAACATATGCCTTTTAGGTGAGACTTAGGCTCACATGCTTGAAGGTTGAACGAAATAGTAATAACACAGGTTGACCTAAATAGGAAAACCAATAACCAAAAAAACAAAACACTTGGGGAAACCAAAAACAATTCTGGGGAAGTCTTGAGGAAAGGGGGGGTCCAGCCAAGAGTCTCTGAGAATTGCTTTTTGTTTTCCCAAGTTTTTGTGTGTTTTTCCTATATATATATATATATAGGTTGTGATTGGCTTTCCCAAGGTTTTGTTGTTTTTTCCTAAGTGTTTGTTCTTTACTGCGCATTATTCAATGTGTTTTTTGTAGTTTTGGTCGTATTTGTTTTTTGGTTTTGATTGTATTTGTGAAAAGTTGTCTACAAATACAGAAAACCAAAAACCCAGGCCCCATGGCCACCCCTTCTGAAACGCGCAAGTACGTTTACACCCAGGTGGGGGGTGTCTTCGTTGGCCGGAGACCCCCCGCCTGGCTCCGGCCCTGTACAATGATGAAAAGAACAGTCAATCGAATTAAATCGTTGCATTCCTTAGCGTGGTCGAGTTACTTAGAGACTGGAGTTCACACACACACAGAAAGCCGTCTTTCGGCGCACTCTGATTGGGCGGGGGTGATAACGCAAAGAAAATGGGACTGTCCTGCTCGGGGTTCCAAGGGAGGGGGTGGGTCCGTGGACGTTGATTTTTGGGAGTATAGCTGGGCAAGGTGAACGAGCGCCCGTTCAGCTGCCGAGGCCGGGTACGTGTAGTTGCAGATGAGGTGGGCACTGGAGTTGAGACCCGAAAGTCGTAGTCGTTGTGAACCAGCTGAAGCCCCCTGCTGACTGTACAAGGTATCGCACTGATTAGGGAGACCTCTATTGTGAATTAGAATGCTGTGTCTTTTTCCTTGGAGACAGGAAGTGACACACAGTGACACACACAAAAAGCCGTGATCGGCGCACCCTGAAATGAAAGAAAAGTTCAAACGCATGCAGCAAGTGGCATGGGGGTTCACAGTGAAATGAACAAGGACACGCGTGCACGCGATCAACTCTCATGCACAGAACGGGAAACGGGTCCAAAGATCAAATGGTATGCTCGGCTGCTGATTTTCCACCAATCAGTCGCAAGAACCGAACAGGAGTGTGTGGGGTGTGATGGTGCGGTGGAAGGCTTGTCACTGTGGCTTGCTGGCCTGCTAAGTCGTGAAAAAGCTGGAAGTGAGGCAAACGCAAACTTAACTGGCCACGGAAGTAGCTGTCAGGCGAGCAGAACAGTGCAACAGTGCTACGCCAATCTACGCAAAATGGTGGAGTCAACCGAAGGGGTAACAGCGGTCAAACTGACATTTCCACGGCTTGGATGAAGCACTCTCATCTCATTTGGTTGGAAGAACAGAATATCGAAATGAAAAAAGTGTTTGCGATTGTCGATTGTTGTCATTGCTAGGTTGAGATTGTTGGAGAGGAGCGGCTGAAGTGATGCCGGAGGCGCTTGCATGCTTGCTGGCTTCCGTGCATGGTGGAAGGCTTGCTGGCTTGCTGAGTCGTGAGCTGGAAGTGAGGCGCGCGTGCAATCTTAATTGACTGGCTGCGGAAATAATGCACGCAAAATGGTGGTTGATATCCAACCGAACCGGAGTAATAGCGGTCAAACTGACATGTCCCCAGCTCGAAGGGGTATAGCGGGACTGGCGCCGCGACGATGTCCGAGTACGGGCCATGTGGGTTGACTCGGCAGGACTGCGCCCGAGAGGAGTGGGAGTCTCTGGCTTGTCGTCGAGCATCTCTTCCCAACGCGCTTTGCATTGTCCTGGCGTACACTTCAGTTTCTTGGCGACAACTGCCAGTTTGGGCGCAGTTTCGGCGAGCGCGTTGTCGCTTGGTGGGCGGTGGTGCCGGAGGGGCAGAGGAGTCACTGTCTGACGATGAATGGGGCAACTCTGCTACAATCCGTGCTTTGGAAGTGGGGTGTCCTCCTCGTCCTCGTCCTCGTCGCTAGTCGAAGGCAAGAATTGATGACCCGGTTGGTCGAGGTGGACTGCCGAAGCTTGGTGGTGGAATGGGTATTGGAGCTGGCGAAGTGAGTAGGTGGATGACCATGCAAAATTCGTGTAGATCTCGGTGGTCGCCGTATCATTAAAAAAAAGAGAGCTGGCAATCTGCACGTTGCTCGCGCGGACAGGCCATGAGAGAAGGTAGGGGTCAACGATGGCGGTGGAGAAGGCGTTCTCCGTCAGGTTCTCCACCGCTCAGGAACTTCTTGCCCGCCCCGAAAGCCATGAGATGTAGAAAAACAATAGCTTTGTTTTTGTTGACGAGATGGGTTTTGGCAAGGACACGTGCTGTGTTCCATCGTTCGTAGTCGACCTCGCCCGTAGTCTCATGGCCTGGCCACCAGGACAGTGCCACGCCCCCTGCTGACTGCACAAGGTATCGCAATGATTAGATAGACCTCGATTGAGAACGCTGTGGTCTTTTTTCCTTGGAGATAGGTAGTGACACACACACAAAAAGCCGTAATCGGCGCACCCTGAAATGAACGAGGACACGCATGCATGCTATATAAACTCTCATGCACACAACGTGAAATGGGTTTGCTCAGCCGCTGGTTTTCTGCCAATCAGTCGCAAGAACCGAACCGGTGTGTGTGTGGCGTGATGGTGTGGCGGAAGACTTGTCAGTGTGGGGGAAATCTTGCTGGCTTGCTGAGTCGTGACAGGGCTGGAAATGAGGCGCGCGCAATCTTAATTAACTGGCCGCGGAAGTAGCTGTCAGGCGACATGGCAGAACAGTGCTACACCAATCTACGCAAAAATGGTGGAGTCAACCGAACCGGAGTAACAGCGGTCAAAATGACATGTCCCCAGCTTGAAGGAAGCACACTGGAAGATGCTAGGTTCAGATTGTTGGAGAGTCGGAGAGGAGCGGCTGAAGTGATGCCGGAGGCGCTTGCATGTTGGCTGGCTTCCGTGCGTGGTGGAAGGCTTGCTGAGTCGTGAGCTGGAAGTGAGGTGCGCGCGCAGTTTTAATTGACTGGCCGCGGAAGCAGCTGTCAGGACAGTGCCACGCCAATCCACGCAAAATGGTGGTTTATACCTGCCCGAACCGGAGCAACAGCAGTCAAACTGACATGTCCCCGGCTCGAAGGAGGCACTCTTAGCTCACTGGTTGGAAACACAGAATATCAAATGAAACAAGAGTTGAAACAAGTGTCTGCGATGGTCGTTGTAAGTGCTAGGTTGAGATTGTTGGAGAGGAGCGGCAGAAGTGATGCCGGAGGTGCTTGCGTGCCCCTGCTGACTGCACAAGGTATCGCAGTGATTAGGTAGACCTCTATCGTGAATTAGAATGCTGTGGTCTTTCTCCTTGGAGACAGGAAACGACACATACAAACAAAAGGCTATAATCGGGGCGCCCTAAAATGAAAGAAAGGTTCAAGTACACGCAGCAAGTGGCATGGGGTTCACAGTGAAATGCACAAGGACATGCATGCATGCTATCAACTCTCACGCACAGAACGCGAAACGGGTCCAAAGATCAAAGGGTTTGCTCGGCTGCTGGTTTTCCGCCAATCAGTCGCAAGAACCGAACCGGAGTGTTCGTGGTGTGATGGTGTGGTGGAAGGCTTGTCACTGTGGTGGAAAGCTTGCTGGCTTCATGAGAGAGCTGGAAGTGAGGCGCGCGCAACCTTGAATAACTGGCCGCGGAAGTAGCTGTCAGGAGGAGTCGCAGAACAATGCTATGCCGCTATGCTGTGAGAAAAACTCGCACCGGCAGCGAAATGAAAGCGCACTTGTTTCATCGCTTGAGCCACGGAGTGGCGTCCGAGAACGAATCCGTGCGGCTCCGGCACACGTCATGCCAACCTCATGAAAGGTCATGTGACTGCATGTCACCTGGTGGTACCTCAGTTTTCACACCCATCTTAACTTGTGGCATGAACGTGTGTCGAAGCTTGAAAGCACTCCCTGCCATGACCTCTCTTAGGTCTGTGGAATCCATGCGCTTTGTCAGCGCGTCGCTCAGCATGTCTGTCGTCGCGATCCACTCCACTTTCGTGGTCGCTTGCTCTGGAGGCTTGTCCTCAAACAGAGGATCTCCCACATCTTGACCGGCATGGCGCCAAATCATTTGGCGCATCCCCGACAAGTCGATAGCTAATCGCTTGTCGTTCACTTCTCCAAGGCCACACTGCCGTAGATGATCGCTCAGCGATCGGCAGTCTGTCAGCTTCAGGATCTGGGCGGCGTCCTTGGCCTTGATTTCCCAATTGGGATCATTTGCTTTGTGCTCATGTCCAAGTCCATGGATGACCATACGAGCGTGTTCAGCTTCTTCATATCCAGCGAGCATTGACAGGCGTTCAGCTTGCAACGTGGACCGGCACACACGGCGAAGTACCGTGCTCTTCCAACTCAGCAAGGCGATGTCGCCTCCTCCATCAGCCCAGAACGAGGGTCCGGCCATGGCCAAAATGCGGCCAGATTGAGAGCGAAGACCCATGCGCTGTCCGCTCTGGGAGACATCAAAATCAGCAGCATGGCTAGCATCGGTGATGGAGAGCAGTTGGGCTTCTTCGAAGCGGAACATGTGCCACTTGTAGGTGATCTTCTGGTCCTTGGTGTTTTGAGCTCGTCGAAGCACGCCATTGGCGTCCAGCAAGTCTTGGACACACGGCTTGCAATCTGTTGACTTCATAGGCCAAGTCAGGGCGGTTGACCCGAACAACCCAGTTGAGGCTACCCACGATGCTTCTCAGTTGACCTTGTTCTTCTTTGGTAGCCGGTGATGCTCGGTTGGCCTTCCGTCCTGTGGAGACCATGATTGGTCGAGTTCGCTCCAGGCCATGAGGGCAAGTGATGTGGATGCCCTTGTCAGCTTGAGTGATGGTGCGGCCACAATATCGAAAGGTGGAGTCCTGAACTTTTCCAAACTTCAGCTTGGATTGCACCTGTTCCATGGCCTTGATGGTCTCTTCTTCACCACACCAAACCAAATCATCAACATGGCAAATCACCATGCCATTGATGCTGTTGTCCTTATTGTTGAGCACATAGGCTGCGTGCTCATGAGGAATCTGACGAAAACCAGCATCAATCAAAGTTCGATGCAAAGATCTCCAGAATCCACGAGGTGCATCCTTGGTGCCATAGACGGGCTTCTTGGCGCGGAGAATGGATCCAGGTTCAACTCCTGGAATGCCATCGGCAGGAGGACGCATGAGAAGCACTCTTGCTAGTCCAAGTCCTTGAAGGAAAGCTGCTGTAATGTCACCAACGTGCAGCATGTAGCCACGGCAGCTGGCTAGGACAAGCAACATATGCAACATCAGGTGAGATGCTGTTGGACTGTCAGTGCGAACATCAACATCGCCATCCTTGACGGCCATTTCCAAATCACCTCGCACGACGATGCGGGACTTGTAGAAGGGATCCTCATTCACCTCGGCCTTGTCAATGTCGACCCATCTCATCGGAACAACTTGTAGATCTGGATGTTCCTTCAGAAATTGCTGGGCGACAGCAGGCTTCATGACATCGCAAGCCTCAAAGTTCATCCAATTGCCCCACTCCTTTTCACGTGCCTTGTAGATGCCTTCTCTGACTTCAGGAGTCTCACGGGCATAGACAAGTTCCTTGTTGCCTCGCTTCTGATTCTTCTTCTTGGGAGCTCTGCGGGCAAGGAAGTTGCTGAAATGATCAGCTTGCTGATGTTCCTTTTGACTCTGCTTGGCATAGAGTCCACGAGGTGAGCGTGATATTGTTCTCGAGGAAGGAATGCCATCCAGTTGATCAGGTGATCGCCGGAGTGCTGCTTGAAGGGGAGTTGTCATCTCCATGGGTGTAGTTGCAGCAGGCGGATCACGTTCGCCATCAGGCTCTTCAACAGATTGATGTCTCGATCCAGCTTCAACATCACCAGTGAGGTGTAGATCATCAAGCAAATCTTGAAAGTCATCCCATTCGACGTCTCCAGATGGTGGAGAAGTGGGCACATACTCAGACATTTCAAGTTCTTCGATGGGAACTTCAGGAGGTCTGCGTCGATCTTCTGGTGGTTCTGTTGGCTGTGGTAGTCCAGGTGGTGTCGGAACGTCAGGTTCTTGTGAGGCTTGTGGTGGAGCATTTGGCTCTGCTGCAGCTGTAGCAGGTTCCTGAACGGGTTCTGCACGTCCACCTCCGGAGCCACTTCCGCCAATTCCACCAAGATCGAAGTACGACCCTTGTTCATCCGGGCCATCATCAGGTGGTGCCAGTACCAAATCATCTCCAAATGGAGTGTCATCTTGTCCAGCATCCAGGACAGAGCGCTTGCGCTTCCGAGCAGGCTTCAACTCAGTCACCTGTTTTGCGAGAACTTCACCAGGTGCGGCTGGACGGACATTCTCTTCATTGATGACGATCGGTACTCCTCCGTGCAACAGCCAGAGGTTTGAGCGACCTTCACGTCCGATCATGCGGGCAGGTCCATACCAGCGTCCAAGGCGGAAGAAGCACAGTAAATCTCCTGGATGATATGGTCCACGGAGAGGCGTTGACTTCCTCAGCAATGCAGCACGAAGACGACGGCTACTATCAGCCTGGGAGAAAGCTTCCTTTGCTGCATGACGAATGAACATCTGCTGAGAGAAAGTCGACTCTCCAGAAAAGACATCTTCTTGAGCACCAAGCGCATCCATCGTAGCCTCAGTGCTGAGGGAAGTGATTTCCGTAGGCAATTTGCCAAGCACCCATTGACTTGGTGCAAATCCTCCATGGTTGATGCGGGCATTCTTGACGAAAGTTGACTCAGCCACAGCCATTCTCATGGCTTGTCCACCAACCAAATTGCGAGAGGTTACAGTGCGATGGATCACTTCCTTGAGGATGGAGCCTTGCCGCTCAGCTCTGCCAATTTGATGTGCAGCTTCAGTGCCAGCGTAGCGAATGTGGACACCTTGAGACTGCATGAAGGATGCCAACTGTCCACGATTTGCAAGTCCTCGGTCCACAGTGAGAAACTTCGGAGGTCCAAACAGGGCGAACCAGTGATCTCGAAAGATCTCGGCACACTTCAGCGAAGAGGGATTGCCGCCAGCGTCGGACACAACCCAAGCTCCATGGAACAACGTGCCCATGCAGACAATGGAGAGGACAGTGAAGCGGTTGCCCAAGGCATCACGACATTCAAAGCAGTCGGCTGTGATCTCATAGTTGAAGGTGTAGAGACTCGGAGGCTTGACCACAGGCGTCGGTTCCGGCTTCTTCAAGTGTTGGCAGGTCTCACACCGGAAATGCTTCAGTCGACTCAGGACTTCAGGGTCTGCCTTGGCTAACTTCAGCATTCGAGCCATAGCAGAAGAACTGGCATGTCCAGTCATTTGTTGTAGTCGACGAACAGCGACACGCTTGGCCAGTGGAAGCTTCTTCCATTCTTGCCGACGAAGGTGATCTTGTGAGGAGCAACCAGCCAACTCATCTCGAGATTCTTCTTGATGAAGTTCCACCTCATCCAATCGGGGTGGTAGAGGAACAATGGCTTCATCTTCAGGGTTGTAGATGCGATCCAGAGTTCCAAACGGTTGTTCTTCTTCGAGAGAGAATTCTGCTGGAAAAGCATACTTGCTGTAGGTGTGCTCCAGTTCATCTTGTAGTCCTTGTAGAAAAGCTCGGCAAAGTTCATGTGGCCAGCATTGTGCCTTCTTGGTGCGATTGCCACCTTCAAGAGGTTGATGTTGATGATCTCCTGAGCACTCACGGTTGAGGTAGTGCTTCACTCCTTGACTGGCAGTCATGATACCAGTCGGCTTCTTGTGTGGAAGTCCTGTTTGCTCATCCTTCAGGCCGAACACACACTGGTCGATGTAGTTCACGGTGAGAGGTTCACCAGTCATGCCATCTTCGATCTGATCAGCGAGGAGTCGCTGGAACACCAGTGTTTGCCACATCTTGGAGGGCCATGGTTGCTCAAAGAGTACTTGTCGGCCACGAGCAACTCGTTGTCGGATGATCTTCACGATCCATTTGCAAACAGGGTACCAGAGCTTTCGAAGTTCACCCAGCTTCTGAGCATAGCTGGGATCCTTGGCAACAGACAGTTGCTGTAGTGGCGACCAGGGTCCACATACGGGAGAAAAGCTCACACAGTATGGGTCGTCACTATCGATGACCGCCTCGATCTTGGCTCTCTCAGAGGCGTTGAGCAAATTGCTACCATCCAACAAAATGTCGCATGGTTGTGAAACTGCATATCCAGCTTCGGCTGCCATCATGGAAAGAAGTGCCGTGCCAGCAAACACTTCAAAGAGGAAGGTGCGGCAGCCTTTCGGCAGGATCTTTGGACGATTGAGCTTCGTCCGAAGTGTGCCCCACATGTGCTTGTCGGCATTCTGAACTTCCTTCACCTCTGACACGAAGTGCTTGCGTTGTCCTTTGGTGAAGGTCTTCTTGGATGTGATCTCATCGAATGCCAGGTGCACTTCAGGAGTCAACTGAATGTCCTCCTCTTGGGGCTCAGGCACTTGTGGTGCCCCATCATACTCCTTCTTGGTCAGGTCATTCTCAGTGATGTGGTCGTTCTTGTAATAGGGCTCGGCGATCTCGCCCTCGGCCATTCCATGTAGGCCAAGATAGCCAGGGAGCAAAGGAATTAATTGCCATCAATCCACCACGATTGACCAGCTTCACTTGGCTTCCAAGAACTTCACTGTCCACGGTCTTCTTGTTGAGGTCGATGACAAAACCAAGTTGGCGTTGAGTGCCAATGGAGAGGAGCAGTGGAGCGTCAGAGTCCTCGATCTCGAATGAGGTCATTGTGCCACGAGCGAAGTTGCCATTCTCAAGCTCAAAACTCAGCTCCAGGGTTCTCTGTCCTGAGAGCTTCATACTGCCACCAATGCCACGCATTCCGCCACCAGAGACAGGTTCGAGTGGAGGTGGTTCACTTCCAGTGGCCTTGTAATAGGCCTGTAGCCATGATGCCCCATGACACGTGGCATTGCATCCCGTGTCGAGGATTGCAAGAAGATCATTCTCAGATCCATCAGGCTTCTTGCGCGCAGCCATGTAGGCAGTGGGAGATGGAGTGTCCTCGGTTGGCATGTGGTTGGCTTTCATCTCGCGGAAGTAGCCAGCGAGTTTCTTCTGTCCAGGCGACGATGATGGTGTCGTGTGGTCGAGACACCACTTCACATAGGCTTGGTCCTTCCAGGCCCGGTGGAACGTGGCATTCTTGTAGCTGCCAAAGTTGACAATCTGAGTACCTTCAGCATTCAACTTGTCTTCCAGAGTGCCTCCATTGGGAGTCATAGTGCAAGCCATACTCTTCTTGGATGCAGTCTTGGAGGTCGTTGTAGCCGTGTCGGCAAATGGAGCAGGTCGTCGGTTGGCGACACTGATGGAGACTTCCAATGCTGAAATGATCTCATCGATCGGCAGCTCACCATCGGGTCCAGCGAAGTGGTCTTCCTTCATCTTCATAGCCACTTCAAAGAGATGCATCATGATGCCGACATTGGAGATGTTCATCGTGCCGGTGTAGACTCGAGGCATAGCGCGAGTCTGGGATGAAGTTCCAGTCTCTTCAGCATCCTTCTTGGCGACAGGTCCAGTCTTCACATCACCACAATCCTTGCACGTCTGCTTCCAGCGATGACCATTGGTTCCATGCCAGGAAACGTTGTGGTGAGGACAGCTGCTCTTCGGCTTGTCGGTAGTGCTGGATGAGGTTGTATGTTCTGAAGTCCTCTTGGTCTTCTCGAGGATCTTGTTGCAGTCCTTGCAAGTCTTGCGGAAGTAGTAGGCATTGCTACCAGAGGTGGTAGTGTTCTGATGTCGACAGGCATCTTGCTTCGCCTTCTCAGCTTGGTCTTTGGCCATCTGATGCGAAGTGACGGATAGATCAGCACGTTCATCACGACGCTTCTGGGCTGCGTCTTCTTCAGCAAAGTACTGTGGGAAGCGGTCTTCAATGGCAAACTGACCAGACATCTCGGCCTCCAAATCCATGTCCATCCGGGGCATGTCTTGAAAATCACCAGGCAATGGATAGGCCGGTTGATGTCCTCCAAACAGCGAGGAGATACCTCGGAAGACACTGCCAAGTCCTCGATGTTCAGGATTGGCGGCTTCTTGCTGTAGTGCTTGAGGTGGTGGTTCATCCTGAGGAAGATGTCCACCTAAAGCTTCACGAAGCATAGCCATGTCCAAATCTTCCTGAGTGAGAACCAGCTCATTTGAGGCTTCCTGCAGACGTTGTTCAGCTTCAACCATTGACCATGGCGTAGAGCTCGGAGAGGAGATAGTCGTGCCATCTTCAAGGGACGATGGAGGTGGTACCTTGTTGTACCTCATGGCCATGTAGACTTGAGGCGGGTTGTCATCCTCTTCAACATTGCTCCTGACAGAGAAGTAGACGGTCCGGTTGGAACCATCCTTCTTGCCTCCCTTGCCCGGTCCAGCGGATGTAGAAGAGCTCGAACTGGATTTGCTCTTCCCCTTGCCTTTGCCTTTTGGGCATGTTGGATCATTGGACCAGTGGCCAACTTGTCCGCAGCGGCGGCAGGTGGTCTTCTCCTTGAGCTGTGCGATCTTCTGTTGACGCTCAGAGAGGGAGAGCTGTCCTTGAACGTGGAACTGGCGAGGTGCATTCTTGCCCTTGCCCTTGAAGCCTTTGAAGCCCTTGTAGGCAGCGAAGTTCCTCGTCAGGTAGGCTTCATGTTCTGCTTGGATGATGTCAGCAGCGTACTCCATGCTCTCCTCATCATCGAGGTCAACACCTTCAGCAGCCATCATGGCCAGAGTGTCATGCTCCGTGAACTCTTCAATGAGCTCAAACTCTTCATCATGCCATCCTTGCTCAAGGTCATAGTCACCGTGGTAGGTCTCTGCCGTCTCATAGGGCCACCACTCATCACCAGCATAGGTGTCTTCAGCCATGTAGCTCCTGTGGTTGGACCCTTTTCCACGATCTCGCCAATTGCGAGTGTTGCCAAAGGGAAAGCGGCCTTTTCCACCACGAAAGCTGTGATCAGCTCGCTCATGCACCTTGCTGTGCTGGGTGATCAACTCTTGATTGACCTTCTCGACAGTGAGGTCTCCAGCGAGGGCGGACCTGATGAGCAGTTGATGGTCCGTCGAAATGCCAGCATTACTCAGGATCTGCTCGGCAAGGATCGACTCAGGCAGCTTGAGATGCTCATCCAAATCCAGCAGGGCGGCATACCATGCTGGTCGACGGAGAATGTAGGTAGCCATGGGCTCCTGCGGTTGGCGGCTCATGAGGCCACCTTGAACAGCTGGTGTTGGTAAAGTTCTCGAGCTTCTTGGGTTCTCCTGGGCTTGAGGGACATGGAAAGATGTCCAAGCAACTCTTCAGCTCCTTCAGGCGAGGCTAAGACCTTGGTCGGGATCTGCTGCGCCACCTTGAGCGCGGCGCCAGATAGGCCTTCGACGAGCCTCAATCCCAGCGGCCCCAATTTCTTCACTTCATCATCGCCAATCAGCTTCTCCTTGGCGATTCGGGCCCGTACGCGAAAGGCGTACTCAGTCAGCCTCGAAGGTTCTCCTCCGAAGCGAGGGATCTGGCCACCTTTGCTCTCGGTGGATGCATGGGACTCTTCATCGCGAATGAAGTTCGCGAACCTGAACGTGTCAACGAGCGACATGGCGTCGCCCCAGGCTTCCCTAGGAATTACAGCTGTGAACACACGTGAACCAAGCTAACCAAGGGGCTTCCGGAAATCAAACGGTCGTTGGGCTCCAAACAAAAAGGGTTCCCCGCGAAGCGACAGCTCCGCCTACCAATGTGAGAAAAACTCGCACCAGCAGCGAAATGAAAGCGCGCTTGTTTCATCGCTTGAGCCACGGAGTGGCGTCCGAGAACGAATCCGTGCACGTCACGCCAACCTCATGAAAGGTCATGTGACTGCATGTCACCTGGTGGTACCTCAGTTTTCACATATGCCAATTTACGCTAAATTTGTGGAGTCGGCTATAAGCCGGAGCAACAGCGGTCAAACTGACATGTCCCGGCTTGAAGGAAGCACTCTCAGCTCACTGGTTGGAAGAACAGAATATCAAAATGAAAAAAGTATCTGCGACTGTTGTAATTGCTATGTTGAGATTGTTGGAGAGAAGCGGCTGAAGTGATGCCGGAGGTGCTTGCATTGCTGGCTCCCGTGCGTGGTGGAAGGCTTGCTGGCTTGCTGTGTCGTGAGCTGGAAGTGAGGTGCGCAGGCAGTCTTAAGTAATTGGCCGCGGAAGCACTTGTCATGACAGGGCCACGCCAATCCACGCGAAATGGTGGTTTATATCCAACCCGAACCGGAGTAACAGGGGTCAAACTGACATGTGCTCGAAGGAGGCACTCTTATCTCACTGGTTGGAAGACAAGAACAGAATATCAAATGAAAAAGTGTCTGCGATTGTTGTATGTGCCAGGTTGAGATTGGCGAGGAGAAGCCGCTGACGTGATGGGAGATGCTTGCGCGTTTGCTGCTCGTCAGTGTGGTGGAAGGCTTGCTGGCTTGCTGAGTCGTGACAGAGCTGGAAGGGGCACATGCCGCGGAAGTAGCTGTCAGGCGGAGTGGCAGCACAGTGCTACGCCAGTCTACGCAAAATCATGGACTCCACCAAAACGGAGTAACAGCGGTCAAACGGACATGTCCCCGGCTTGAAGGAGGCACTCTTAGCCCACTGGTTGGAAGAACTGAAAATAAAAAAGAAAAATGAAAAATATAAATGATAAATGAAAAAGGTGTCTGCGATGGTTGTAATGGCTAGGCTGAGATTGTTGGAGAGAAGCGGCTGAAGTGACGCCGGAGGTGCTTGCGCGTTTGCTGGCTGGCGTGCGTGGTGGAAGGTTTTTGCTGGCTTGCTGAGTCGTGAGCTGGAAGTGAGGCACATGCAAACTTTTGTAACTGGCCGCAGAAGTAGCACCAATCCACGCCAAATGGTGTTTCTTCCAGCCGAACCGGAGTAACAGCGGTCAAACAAAACTGACATGTCCCCGAAGGAGGCACTCTTAGCTCCCTGCCTGGAAGACAAGAACAGAATATCGAAATTAGACAAGTGTCTGCGATTGTTGTAAGTGCTAGGTTGAGATTGGTGAGGAAAAGCGGGTGAAGTGATGCGGAGGCGCTTGCGCGTTTGCTGGCTTGTCAGTGTGGTGGAAGGCTTGCTGGCTTGCTGAGTCGTGACAAAGCTGGAAGTGGAGCGCATGTAATCTTAATTAATTGGCCGCGGAAGTAGCTGTCAGGCGGAGTGGCAGAACAGTGTTACGCCAATCCTTGCAAAATGGTGGGCTCAACCGAACCGGAGCAACAGCAGTCAAACTGACATGTCCCAGGCTCGAAGGAGGCACTCTCAGCTCACTGGTTGGAAAAACAGAATATCAAAGTGAAAAGAACAGAACACCAAAATGAAAAGAGTCTCTGCGATGGTTGTAATGGCTAGGTTGAGATTGTTGGAGAGAAGCGGCTGAAGTGACGCCGGAGGCGCTTGCGCGTTGGCTGGCTGGCATGCGTGGTGGAAGGTTTTTGCTGGCTTGCTGAGTCGTGACAGAGCTGGAAGTGAAGCGCATGCAATCTTAATTAACTGGCCGCGGAAGTAGATGTCAGGACAGCGCCAATCAAAGCCAAATGGTGATTTATATCCAACCGAACCAGAGTAGCAGCGGTCAAACTGACATTTCCCCGAAGGAGGCGCTCTTAGCTCCCTGCCTGGAAGAGAAGAACAGAATATCGAAATGAGACAAGTGTCTGGGATGGTTGTAAGTGCTAGGTTGAGATTGGTGAGGAGATGCCGCTGACATGATGGGAGGCGCTTGCGCGTTTGCTGGCTTGTCACTGTGGTGGCAGGCTTGCTGGCTTGCTGAGTCGTGACAGAGCTGGAAGTGGAGCGCATGCAATCTTAATTAACTGGCCGCGGAAGTAGCTGGCAGGCGGAGTGGCAGAACAGTGTTACGCCAATCTACGCAAAATGGTGGACTCAACCGGACCGGAGTAACAGCGGTGTCCCCGGCTCGAAGGAGGCACTCTTAGCTCACTGTCGAGAGATCAGAATCTCAGACAACCTGAGAAGCTGCAAAACGAAAGCCAGCGCTTCCCTTTCTCGACAACTGCGCGTCGAAGCAATCAAATGAGCTTGCGCAGCCGCTGGCGGCCGCGTGTCAAGTCTGCTTCATGTCTTGTTCTGCCCACACATAGGTAACCATGCAAAAGCAAAAAATGCACTCTTGCATCACCACCCGCTCCAAAGTCACTAAAACATCACCTCCAAGAGTTTACGTATATCTTTTTCGAGCCACACATGCACAGCAAACCACAGCTATGAAGTCTCATTCGTGCTTTGAACTGGTATAGGTGTGTAAGAGGTATAGCCACAATTCGAGGTGGCCTGGGACCAGAGGCTCGCTGCCCGAAACTATATGTTCAGGCCACCTCAGAAATGAAGATATGCGAAGCAAAGGTCCTGAGGTGTCTCTGTGACAAGGCTTTTGTTAAAACAGACAATTTTTCAAGCTAAATTCAAGGTGGCCTGAGACCAGGGTTTGCTTACCTTAAAAATGAAGGTCTGCGAAGCGAGAGCAAAGGATGCACATTGTCCTTCTGCTGCTTGAATTTGGCCTTTTGTTTACTTAAAAGTTCAAGACCTCCCAGCTGTTTCCACCTCTTCGCTTCCCAGTCTTCCCAGGGTTCATAGGGAGCCAGGCCATTTTCAGAATCTTCTGGATTTGAGCTGTTCGAGTTCCTATTGAAGGGTATATGTTCTCGTTGGCGAGTGCGTCACCACCCGCTCCAAAAGCATCAAAGCATCACCCCCCAGAGTTTACGTATATCTTTCTCCAAGAGTTTACGTATACCTTTCTCGGGCCACCCCCCCGACCCCCGACCGACTTCACACATAGATAATTTCCATCCACATTCAGATGAAGCAAAAGCCAAACAATGCACCAAACAAATTCGAGGTGGCCTGGGACCAGAGGCTCGCTGCCTGAAACTATATGTTCAGGCCACCTCAAAAATGAAGATATGCGAAGCAAGGGTGCCTTTGTGACAAGGCTTTTGTTAAAACAGACAGTTTTTCAAGCTAAATTCAAGGTGGCCTGAGACCAGGGTTTGCTGCCCTAAAACACTCTGTTCAGGCCACCTTGAAAATGAAGGTCTGCGAAGCGAGAGCAAAGGACTTTCCACCTCCTCTCTTCCCAGTCTTCCCAGGGTTCATATAGGGAGCCAGGCCATTTTCAGAATCTTATGGATTTGGGCTGTTCGAGTTCCTATTGAAGGGTATATGTTCTCGTTGGCGAGTGCGTCACCACCCCGCTCCAAAAGCATCAAAGCATCACCTTCCAGCGTTTACGTATATCTTTCTCGAGCCACACATGCACAGCAAACCACAGCTATGAAGTCTCATTCGTGCTTTGAACTGGTATAGGTGTGTAAGAGGTATAGCAACATAGCATTCATACGGGCCCACGGTAGCTACAATTCTGTTCCCAGGTATCGCGCGCATGAGGCTTCAAAGCTGTGGGTTGCTGTGCGTGTGTAGAGGTTTTCGAGCGGTTGACGGAAAGGGAACTTGAAGTACTATACCTGGTAGCTGCACTATAGCTACCCTGGGTCTCTATACCTGGCAAGGTGCCAACTACACCTTTCCATTCAGATGATGCAAATGATGCAAATTGCATTTCTTGCATCACCACCCCTCAAAAATCACCTCCAACACAACCTCAAAAAAACCTTCCTCGATGCACCCTCCTCCCCCAGCATGTGCCGAGTTTACGTGTACCTTTTGCGGGCCACCCCCCCAGACCCCCTAACTACTCACTTCGTTCGCCAAACACAACTCCGCTGGCGCCTTCTACGAAGGCTGGCTTTCGTAATGAGTGGAAAAAAGGTGTCTGCGATTGTTGTAATTGCTAATTTGAGATTGTTGGA